AGTAGATCAGTAATGTTTTGCTCTCGCAAAGCTAGTAAGGATTTCTGTTCAGACTAAGTTTGTTTCAGTTCTTCGAAAGACATGACAACATATTTATATGAAGTTTGATGATGCAGGCCTGGAGTTATTTCCCTCTAAGGGGCGATCGTGGCTCAAGAGTTGGGAGTTCGCCTTGTAATCGGAAGGTTGCTGGTTCGAGCCCCGGCTCGGACAGTCTCAGTCGTTGTGTCCTTGGGCAAGACACTTCACCTGTTGCCTACTGGTGGTGGTCAGAGGGCCCGGTGGCGCCAGTGTCCGGCAGCCTCGCTTCTGTCAAGTCTGCCCCAGGGTGGCTGTGGCTACAATGTAGCTTGCCATCACCAGTGTGTGAATGGGTGGATGACTGGATATGTAAAGCGCTTTGGGGTCCTTAGGGACTAGTAAAGCGCTATATAAATACAGGCCATTTACCAGGCCATTTAAGTGCAGTATATTTTCTCTTCCTGGGGGTTTACTTTGTAAAACTAAAGCTGATTATAGTTTCTGAAAGTGTGCTTTGGCAACATCTTGCTTGCATTTTAGTTTTGGTTCATTTCCCGCATTTCTACAAGGTGACATGTAACAGGACAGTGGGGTTCAAAATTCTGAACATTTTACTTCAGAAGTTAATACAACCCCCACCCCAACACACATGATTAGTACTCCGAAGAGTTTTTTTATGATGTCACAGATTCTTGTCCCTCTCTCCTTTAAATTGTGCATGGGGTTGAGGTCAAGTGACAGTCCTTTGGTCCTTTTTGATCTTTTTACTACTTCAAAAAGCTTTGGAGTGTGTTTGGGCCCGTTATCCTCCACAGAGACACAGATCAGATGGTGGAACATGTCTGTGGAGAATGAAGTGAAGTGTTTGCTCAGGGTGCAGGTGATATGATGCAGCTGTTTGACTCCAGAAGAGACAAACACTCCACAGTGAACATTGCCAAAGTTGTCTTGGTAATGTTCATAACACTTTGAGGCCCATGTCTGCAGTGAGGGCAGCATTTAATGTTTGACATAGTCATACAGGGTTCTATTAAAAAAAAAAAAAAAAAAAAAAATTCCAACAGTTCCAGAGTGTTCAATTATTAGTGTGAATGATTGAAAAGCATTCACACTATGAATAAAGTTACGTTGAAACCAAGCACACCATTGTTTTTCTTGTGACATTATAGTTTGATGTGTCACATGGCCCTCTTCCTATTGGAAAAAAACAAAAGTTGTATCCAAGATGGCCGACTTCTAAATGGCCACCATGGTCACCACCCATCTTGAGGAGTTTGCCCCCTCACATATACTAATGTGCCACAAACAGGACTTTAACATCACCAACCGTTCCCATTTTATTACGGTGTATCCATATAAATAGCCCACCCTGTATATCAACATACATTCACATAGAGCCACCATTAAAACTTTAAAACGAAGCCAAGACATTGAACTATTCAGCTTGTATTTATCGTTTTATTTTAATGAAGTTTACTTTAAGTGTTCAGATTTGTACTCCTTTTTATTTGACTACATTAAAGTAATCAAATAAAGACAGTTTTGATAGAGCTCCTGATGTCAGATGGTAGGTTGGGCTTGCCAGAGGTCGTGCGTTTTCTCAAGTCTATTTTCTGTGAGACAAGTTCTAAAGGATCTTCTCGATGGCACAGCGGATGTTGGTCAGAAACACTTCATTTCCCTTCTTGTTGAAGTGAATTCCGTCCTGTCCGAATAGGGTTTCGTCATAATATCTCAGGGAGGGATGTTCAATGATGAAGCCTCCAAAGGAATGAACTGCCTTTCTCATGAATGAGTTTACAGTTTTTTCGCCCATGTCCATCATGTACTTTGGATTTCTGTACCTCCACACTTGGCGTTCGTTGATGCAGGAATATAGGATTGTCATGGAGGGGATCCTTGCATGCAGTTCAGTCAAGTCTTTAGTCATTGCAGAGGAAAGTTCCTGGGCGGATACGAGTCCCAAGTCGTTCCCGCCTGCATGAATGACCAAAATATCAGGTGGACTCTTTCTGGACATCAACTCTGCATCAAAACGAAGAAGGACGCCATCCCAGCGCATCCCTGTTTTTCCAAACCAATGAACATTGGCATCAAGTCCAAAGTTTTCTCCAAACACGTGGCGTGCTGCCCATTCTCCTCGCTTTATGTAACTTGAGCCGATGATCCATATGTTAGGTACCCTCTTCTATGTCTTGCTCATTTCAGTGTGACTGCGGGGTCTCTCTTTAGAGAAACGCCGTTGCTTCTTTGCTGTGGAGAAGCTTCTTTTGTCATCAAGTCGATCCTCAACTTCAGATCGCTTTCTTTTTGATGCAAGTTTGTTGCTAGTTAAAGCAGATTGATCAACCAATGATAGTTTCATCACACTGGGTGGACTTTGCACTCCAGTGGAGAAACTGCTCCGTACTTGGTTTGTAGACACTGGCTGTTGGGTTGGATCATCTTTTAGGCTCAAAGCCTTCATCATTCTAATGATGGTCTTCATCCAAGATGAAGAGTATTTCTTTGATAACCCAAGCATGATATCACAGCAATGACTTCAGGGACTTTTAAATACCTTTTGTCAAGACGTGTGAGATTTGCAACTATAAGCTCCGAGTTGAAAAACTGTTTCTGTTTATTTGAAGCAGCAGAAGAGAGCCACATGTTTGTGTGTGTGTGTGTGTGTGTGTGTGTGTGTGTGTGTGTGTGTGTGTGTGTGTGTGTGTGGTGCCACTGGCTGGAGTTGCTATAGCATCCAGGCTCACACCGCCTGCTTAATGAGCTCTCTGTCACTCTGCCAAGATTAATCTTAAAAACTTCTGTTTCAACTGCTGCTGTGTGCACAGTGTTTGCTCTACATCTATCATTAAACGCTCAAAACGTTGCCATCGTTGTTCTCTTTCCAACAGTGTGTCTTCCAAAGCTCAGAGATCTAAACTTTTTAAACTGTGTGGATCCAAGTAGAGGGATAACCTTCTAGCTGACCCATTGAAATACATGGTATTTTCAGTCAGGAGTTTATCTCAACAGCAGAAAGGACCCCACTTTTCAGTGATTAATATAATATGAATTTTTAATATTCATTCAGATGTTTTCTGACTCTGAATTTTCTTTAGTCATTAGTCAGCTTTTTCGAATGTACATTTTAAACATGTTCAGCTACTTTTCAACTTCTTCTGTGTGAATGTCAGCTTTCAACAGTTCTGCACTTTTGTTTTCAGGTGAAAAATTCTGTATATTTCAGCTCATTCAACATTTTTAACTTAAAATTCAGCAAATATTTCATTTCAGCTCAAAACATTCAGCTATCAGCATTCACACAGCAGTTTCTTCAGAAAATGCATTTTCTAGTTTAGTTTTGGTTTTTGCAAGTCTATTGTTTATGGAGTTTTTTCTACTCTTGCAATAAAAGCAGCCTCTTTGAGTTTACTCTTCCGTCTGAGTGTGCTGCATTTTGGGTCTTACATCCTGCATGCCTTGACAATAGCAAACACGAAGCTACAGTAACATGCGATTAAAACACACAAGTGTGTCTCAGTACAATTCTTCTTTTGTTCCGCCACTTTAATGTCTTCTTACAAACGCTTTGGTTGCGTTTTGTGAGATTTCATTTTTGTTTTTTCTACTTCCTTTGTGTTTTATGTGCCTTTGCAGCATGTTTTATGTGCTTTTCTTAAGTAATAGACTATGTGCACGTTAGCATATGCTACTTCCGGTGCGGAAACTCCTGTGGGGAGCTTTGTTTCCGGTGTCCTATTCGCGCCTTGTTTACGGTCCAAAAAAAGTTAAGCAAATGAATGAATCAAGCGGCGATTTACATTTCTATAGATGTCTTGGGCATTTACCCAATATATCTGTAAATGATGTTCATCGACTTGTCGTTATCTCCCCCCCCCCTCAGAGCAAAAGAGAAAAGGGATTCAAATGTTATATTTCTCAGTATCTGTAAACAGCGGTCCCTTGTTTATCATGGGTGTTATGTTCTAAAAACAACCAGCGATAGGTGAAATCAAGTAGCCAATTTTTTTTTGATGGTGCAAAACGTTTCGTCGACATACAGTACTGCACTTCAGAGTCACACTGCTAGCATCAATGCAGCGATTCTGTACTGTACAGGAGAGACGTCACGGAGGAGATCGTCTGCAGCGATCAGGACGCAGGACACAATGTGATGTAAAAAAAAAAGCATGCAAACTTGCACTAAAAAATACACGAAACAGCGCGGTGAAAGGTGAACCGCGTTATAGCGAGGGACCACTGTAATTTTGAAGGTAAGTCACAACATATCCTTCGTAAATACTAATGTATAGAATAGAGATGGACCGATCCAATATTACGTATCGGTCCGATAGTGACGTAAATTACTGGACTGGATATCGGAGAGAAATAAAAAATGTAATCGATCCGTTAAATATCAAAAAAGCACCTCACAAAACTTGCGACATAACTCGGCTCATAACTGTAGCACCTTGCAGCAGTATGCCTCACGTGATAGAGCGGCTGTGTGTATTTGTAGCCTCACTACCAATCCGGCATTTCATCTCTGAGGAAGTTATCCCAAAGAGAAGTAAAGCAAGTGTGTAAGTTCATCTCTGAATGTTTGTAAAGCATTGCCGTGTTAAGCTTAACAACCAATATATGGAGCGACTGCCTCTTCTCTCTCCCTCCCTCTCCTGTTGCTACTTCAATCATGAAACTGCTTAATGATCAGCTGATCGGCTTTTCTGTCGCCTGTCCGTCTCTTGTTTGTTTTTGGCCCACTTTGCACCAGAAAGAGGAAACCAGCGGCTGAACAACAGCAGCACATTTAAGCTTGATAAGCTGCTGTTAGAATTTATTTAATATTACTTTCTACACCAGGATCCTTTTCTAAGCAGCTGACGCAGGGGC